AATGTTTCATCGACTAATCTTGTGTGATACACTCTGGTTAATTCAGTAAGACTTTAATAATGGAGGGACTTTGATGCCAGTTGTTATATCACGGGACTGTTTTATTGAGACTATTTATCTTTTCATAGATCAGTGCCTCCCATCAGAGAGTAATGTTTGATGTGTCACCAGCATTTGACTGGCACGGGCAGGTGGCACGATGTGGCACAGTGTGGTTGTGATCCCGCTGTGGTCGGCTTTAAGGGCAACTGGCAGGTCAAAGAGACATCCATCAAATTGTATCTAGTTACACACTGTGACACATGTGCAACTAAGCCTGTGGTGGTTTTTTTAGTGTCTCTGGGTCACTGGAATGAGACTGAGACATTATCTTATGAGGGCAGCATTGCAACTGTAGAGCTGCATGGAGGGAGAGGGTGCCAGGAAGTGAAATACCAGGACTTCTATTATCGCGCCCTGTTTCTGTCAAAACCGTCTGACCTAGTGTGCGTATGTACAGCTGGAACACTAAAATATGAAGTCCTAGATATTATGCAGACACACTCTGCAGACTTTGAGGGGATATCTGTGATTGTGACCTTCGCCCTCCAGGGATCACCAGGACGCCTGAGATTTCAGCTTGCCATTGAGAGTCCCCACCCCCCCCCCACCCCCATACCATCACATACACAGACACTCAAACTAACACACTCTGTGTATGTTCAAGTGGACACACTGTGACCTTCACAGTCCGCCGGCCAAAGCCTCAGCCATGCCGGGAATTTCACTCAAGTGTGTGGCGGGACCATTAGTCACCCAATCAGAAAGAATACTTTGTCAAATGTTTAATAACTGTCCTTCTGAATGAATTGTGGGGTTGTCTACAGGTGTTTAATTAAGCCATAGCTGTTCATCTTACAATAGCTGTGCTTTTAATATTGGGCTACCAGTTTCTCCTCAGTTGTTACATTTTTCTAAGAGGTGGCACTCAGTTCACTCTGGTGGAGTGAAGTCTTCCTCTGGTGAATCTGTGGATTTGACACATATCCACAACAATTTATTGTAAATTCAGCTATCTGCTCCACAGCCTGATCCCCAAATCCCATCAAAGTTAATCCTCACCTCACAGGAGTAGCTGATGGCTCTGGCTGTCAACCGACAGCCTCAGTGAGTTGTCTGACCCCTGACCTGACAGCAATGAGTATGTGCCTGCTTGTGTTAGTGTATACGTGTGTGTGTGTGTGTGTGTGTGTGTGTGTGTATGTGTGTGTGAGAGAGAGAGACCCTGCTGCCCACATGTATAAACTGTGTCATTCTCATTAGCACAGTCATAGTGAATTTCCAGCCAATAGTTTATCACATTGCTGCAGCGGGAGTAAGCTAAAGCATACTATGGAGCCTCTCGGCCTTGGTCCTGACACAAGTTAATGACCTCAGTGGCACCTCTGCAGTAACTTTCCAATAAGCTGTTGACCCCAGCTCAATGCAGCCTGCCTGTGAAACCCATGTCTCGTTGCTGGCTGACACCTGGGCTGATAACATACCAACAGAGCAGCTACAGAATGTGGATGTGTTTGTGAAGATATGACAGACTTGCTTGACAGCACTGCATCTTAGTCATACACTGTCAACTATCATGAAATCATTCTGGATGACTTGTTTCTATCTAATAACAGACTTTTTTATGTTTTCATTTTACAACTGGTTGCTTTCCATTTAAAAAGTAATTAACCAAGTCTAACTTACCAATGGAGACCAGTTTGATGCGCTCTCTGTCCAGGAACTCCAGTGCAACAGAAACATTTTCCAGTTTCATCTGGCGGAAGTTGGGTCTGGTGTGGTACTTTCTGTACATTTTCTTCTGGCTCAAAACCTCCAGGAGTGAAATCAGCTTCAGCCCGTCGGTGAATTCCCTCTGCAGGTCGGTGATGGTCTTGTTGACGCACTTGAGGTGCTCGTTGCACCACCTGGTGAAGGTGTTCTGCTGGATCTTCTTCCATGGCGCGTCCTCGGCCAGGTCCTTCTCCGTGGCTGGCATCTCGTCGTCCTCCTCTTCCCCAAAGTCAGTGGCCTGGTAATACTGTGAAGGCAGCTGGTCGTCGCTGTAGTTATTGCTCATCATGGTGGCTTTTTCCGTGTCCACTTTTATACCTCGGTGACACTTGCTCGGCAGCGCAGAAAAACTTTAGCAGGTCGATGGCAAAGCGCGCTCTCGCGGAGGAAAAGTTCAGGCTTGTAGGAGTTTTAAAAAAGGCAGCCCGGAGATTTTTTCGGATGTACTTGCGAAGAAAACCACTTATGTCAGGACAGTGATGGATTAAATGATCCGATTTACAACGTGCGAGGCAGCTGGTCGTCCGCTTTTTTTTTTTTTTTTTAATTGGCACCCCCTCGACAAGTCGGTCCTTTCTATTATGGCCCCGAGAAGAATGTCGCTTTTTGAAAAATGGAGCTTCGTGGCAGGTGAGCTGGAGCAGCAGTGTTGAAAGTTTTGACTCTGTTTAAAAGTTGACTGCTGAGAGAGGAAACTGTTGGGTATATAAAGGACCCGGGGCCGCGTCACTCAGCCTCTGTGATCATACTCTATTTGCTAATCCATAAGGATAACGGGAGTCGGGGGTCGGTTTACGGGGAGGATGGGGGCTAGGGATTGGTCAGACCCCGGGCAGCGCAACAGTTGCGGCATGCTCCTTATTTTTAGGCGCTCCTATTTGGGCGGCTGGGTGGGGGGTGTGTGGGGGGGGCTGGGACTTCACGATTGTTGCGAATGTGTGTCATGCTCCTGGTCCAAGTGGCTGAACAATTGAGCTAAGAAAAGAAAGTGAGAAGTGTAGTGAGTCCCTCTGTCTAAATAAATTAAATTATAAAAAGAGGATAATTGCCAAAAAAAAAAAAAGTGGGGTTTTGCACTTGATTGCTGAGGCCTTGGAGAGACACAGTTTAGAGGATGAGCTCATCCTGGTAAAGATGAAGCAACTGCATTACGTGTGTTTCACAGCTATCTGCCACCCCAGAGTGAAATGCATTTCTATGTGGACAAGCTAAGGTCAATACAAGCTCAGGGAAGGTTATGGAAGGATGCTTTAAAAAGAAAACCATTTTTATTTGGCTTTTGCTATACAGTGATTCATGTTTCTGCACCATCGAGCAAAACCACAGTAATTAAATATATTGTAGGAAATGTGTTCAGTTATGTCACCGACAAGAACTGAGAGTTATTGCCTTTCAACTCACTAAATTTAACAATTACAGCCCAATTTAGAACATTCAAATTTAAATGTCTGCCCAGACAAAGTAAGTCTAAACTGACTTCTTGACTTGACTGAAAGCCAATAATCTCCTGATCAGTGACAACATGACAGCATTCATTGAAGATGAGGCTGCATGTAGAGTAGAGGTACACTGGGACAGCTGTCAGTGTGTGTGCACGGTGAAATTAATAATCTAAAATGAATCAGTTCCAATAAATGTTGTGTTTTCTGCAGGTTCCTGGACTGTCATGGCGTTGTGACTCAGCAGCCAGTGACACCAGATGCCAGCACCATCCTTGATGAAGTAGTGGGAGGTAATAATATCTGTGACACACGCAGAAGGCATTCTTAGGATACTCAGTCTGGACACAGCCATGGGTCTCCTTTAGTTACTCTAAATATTTTTTTTGTTTGTTCCTCGACCATTGTAGCCATTTCTTTTTAGAGCAATTTTATATACAAATCACATAAAACAGTCTGTTACTGTAAAACTGGCATTTGGATCATTTTATGCTTATTTGAGCCAGAATATTCTCTAATAATAACGATGATAATAATAATAATTTTAATAAAGTATGGCTAAAATACAAGTATTTCTAAATTATGTTGTTATCTGTAGTGTTGTGTGAAAGAAATGTCAATAATTCAGTGATACCATTTATTCTGTTGTCATATTGACATATCACAGTTCTCATGTTTGGAAGAAGTCAATATCTCAAGGTAAAAAATACTAAAATAATGCAGTACAAATACAGAGGTACTAGCAGTAAAATGTAGACTCAAAAGTAAAAGTACAGCAAGTTATTTTATCTTTGATACTGTGTCAGTCTTAAATATATTAGATTATTATTACTTTTATGTAGTAGCTTGGCAAAATAAAGCTATTGTTTTTTACTTTAGAGTAATCTATAACAATAAATCATTTTTATTAGTTGTTTACTATAGTTAGCAAAATAAGTGGAGTTAAAAGTACAATATTTGCTACTGAAATATAGCAGAGTTATAGTTTTAATCCAACCCTTGATGGGAAGTATAAACCAAACCACAGAGCTACATCTGTTGCCTGGACACTGTTCACTTGACATTATATCCCCAGAGAGCACCCAGGCTGCTTTCACAGTAAGCTTTCCACCTTTTTTAATTAGCTTTTTCCCTCTTAGCCTGTCAGTTTAATATATTAAATATTTAAGAAGGGATTTGGGGTGAATTTGCTGGACAGATAGGCCTGGGGCCAGAGCCCAGTTGATTAGGTTTCACTGGTGATCAGGATCTGACATTTTGAGCGATAACAAACTTTTTATTTCGGTGGCCACAACTTTAACACAGAATGAGAAAGAAACCTGGTTCAGAATCAGTTGGGAATATTTGCAGGAAACTAATTAAATTTAAACCTCAAGTGACAGAGAGTTGTTCAGTTCAGTGAGGGTGTATGCTAACTGTACCCCCATGACTAGTTCTGCACATCCTGGCTACTTTTAGATAATTAGACACACTTAAACCCAGTAAACCATGAGTCGTGGGAATGGAGTAATGAGTGTAGTTTGGAGACCCTCATCAACAACGTTGACACCAGTTCCTGCCATCTGTAAAGGAATACATGTCTGTGAGCTAATGTCACGTCTCTGGAGTGAAGGTTATTAATATCCATACAACCAGTGTAATGTGATGCCAGCAGAGACATCACTCAGGTTGACTGCTGGTGAGTTCATGAATGGGATACCTTAAACCCTGAGACCACCTCCCAAGAAAAGAAAGCGCTCAGACATCATGTGGGGTGGATATATTTATTTTCTCAAGTCATTTACAGTACAAAATAGACTTCCATGTAACAAAATAGCCACGGCTATATTGAAAACAACAGTGCTATCAATATGTCAAGAAACAAGCTGAGAAACACTGAGCAATATAGAAGCTTGTGAAACTATGACAAAGTTAATGAGATAAGCTCAGAAATGATGAAAAATAATGTTCTGAATAAGACAACATTCATTATGTACCATTGCTGTCAATGGGAACTTCATTTCTATTGCAAACGGATGATCTTTTTTTTTTTAAAGCAGTGACAACATTTGCAGTGCAGTGGCACATTAGTGTACGTTCATAAAAAACGTTGGTCAGGCATTGCTTATGAAGGATCTGTTTAATGACAAATGTCTCAGAAAAGATTTGAGTACATTTCTGAAATTTAGCAGACTGGAAAAAACCAGGAGTCATATTGCTCTTACAGGCAACTGAGGTCAAATGCAATTTAAATGCATGCAATGACTACACCACCACTGAACAAAGAGGTACAGAATATGATTAGCAGTGCTAGTGGTTGTTCTGAATAACGTCACCATAAATAAACATTTACACAGAATATAATTTGGCTATCAAATATACGATGCTCTTTCAAAATAGAATAAACTTTCTACAAAGCTAGTACAAATGGATTTAAGAAATATCTCTCCCATAGTACTGTATGTCACATGTATTTACATGAAATACAAAGTAACCGAATCAACATAAATTATATATTGTGCTTCTATATGTTTTCTAGCATGCTTTTCAGTTCTAAAATATGTTCACAAAAAAACATTTCACTGATGTAAACAATAATCGGAGTCCTTCCACATATACATATATTTATCGTAACTGATGCTTAAACAAACTACATTTTCCTGACACCTGCCTATGTACATATTTTGGAACCATATCAATTTCTAAAATGCCCTCACATCTAAATAAACCCTGATCTTTCACGTCAGTCGCATCAGTGGTTCAATCCAGGTTTGACTGGAACAATAAACTTGGAAAAACCAAGCCTTAATAATAATTAATAGGAACAAAAGTTTATTTCACATCAAAATCTTAACTGAGTTGAGATGTCAGAAAACATGATAATATAGCTCGATCATCCGTGAATGTGCTCCCAAAGTTGCCGGGATGTACTGCATTTTCTGTACATGTGACAGTGCAGCTGTTTTTCAAAGTGAACAGTGAGCAGGCATGATGAATCAGAAATACTGCGCTGACTTTCTGCCATCTTGCTTAACTGATAATTAAAGTGGGAGGTGGGAGTTTCAGAGTTGGACACAAGATGATTGGGAGGCAGAAGTGACAGAGCCTGGAGAAAAGCCCATAACGGAAAAACACTGTGAAGAAGAGCTGGTTTCAGCCTTAAGAGGTGACATCAGGTTAAACCATATATATATATACACATATATATATTAACATGTGCTTAGTTGGCCTGTTATACATGTTCTCTTTGTAATAACATATGTCATTGATGTTTATAATGGAAATTCAATTTAATATTCCTAAATTGTGTTTGCGGTAGGTAGCATTTACTGAATGTAGTATTTAGGGGGAAGCAGTAATTAAATGAAGTAATTAATAGTCAACTCATGGACAAAAAATGCAAACTGCTTTTTCTGGTATAATATTTTAAAGGGTGTACATTTCAGGGATTTCAGTGCATTAAATGTGCCGACTTCATGTTTGTCATTATTTTCCGAGACAACTATGAACAATATTTAAACAAACAAATAAATAAATAATGGTTAAAACAAATTGAAAACCAGTTGGTGCACATTAATAATCAAAACATTTTATCACACTGTTAGCTAAAGGAGAATAATATTCACAGACACAGAGGAGGAATGACACAGCACTAGCATACATTTAGTGGAGTGAGATCACATCCTCGTGTGGGCTCTCTGCAGGTCAACTCAGCCTCACAGCCGTCTTCAATCTTAAATGAGACTGAGCGCATCGTTCTCGGTCTGTGCATCGATGTAGTACCTTCTCATTACAGACCAAATTTTCAATACATATTCAGCTACGCAGCTCTATCACACCTAGGTAACTCCAGTTCAGTCTATAGACATGGCAGGAGAGAACGAGGGCTGGTCTGAAGCGGACGTCTGTCCCTGTGCAGTTGTTGCCCATCCAGTCAACATCGGACGAGAGCTCTCAACAAGCTAGACATCATTAGTAGCACTGCTGTGGCTGCAGTGATAGTCAAAATGGAGTTCCAACCTACCTCACTCCCCTGAGGGAAGACAGGAAAAGAGGGGTGTTAAGAGTCAGTTGAGGCTGCCAATTAAACATGTGTTATTATGAATCCCACTGCTTTTCCACCCCTAACTCTGCCTCTGATTGGCTAACTCTAACCCTTGCCCCCAACCCCCTAACCATCACCACCCTAATGAACGGAGGCAACGACTACGAGTCAATCAGAGGCGATTTAGTGCGTGTCTTGCCTAGAAAAGCAGTGGGATTCATAATAATGGATCAGCCATAGATAAACCGTTTTGGAAAATAAGATTATTTGCTTTCTTACGGTCAGATGAGAAGATTTTTATCACCCTCTTATCTGTACATTAAGTGTGGAGCTGGAGGCAATTAGCTTAGCTTAGCATAAAAAACGGAAGCAAGGGCAAACAGCTAGCCTGTAGCTTTGTCCAACATTTAGAAATAGCCTACATGTACTCTTGCAAAGCACCTCTGAAGTTCAGTAATGACTGTGTTGTATCTTGTTTGTTGAATTCGTACACATGCTGTTATTATTTCTTGACAAACAACAGTTTATCTGTCCGCCCAGCACTTAAATGCTGTCTGCTGGTTGTGGTGACGACGAAGACTCTGAGAAGTTACAATACTTGGCCGACAATTATCTCATTACAGCTCTTAACTCCCACAAAGACCACAAATTGTTGTTTTTTTACATTTCTTGATGTAAACAGATTAAACAAACAAGACAGCAACGTGTTGATTTCTGAGCTATATATATGCTGGTAGGAGTCATTTTACATTTTTGATGGAGCCAGGCTAGCTTTTTCCCTCTGTTTCCAGTCTTTATGCTAAGCTAAGTTAACCGTCTCCTGGCTGTAGCTTCACATTTACCGCACAGACATGAGAGTGGCACCAGTCTTTTCATCTAACTCTTGGCAAGAAAGCAAATAAGCATATTTCCCACAATTCCTGTAAATGACTTATTCAGTGCCATTCAAGGAAATGTTTTGTTATAATTTGCCAAACTGCCCACCCGCCCCACGTCCACCTTCCATAAAAGCTGAATATCATTATCTACCTTCATTCAAATGTTCAGTTTAGACCCTCTTACAGCAACCACCACTAAATGAATCTTGAGCAATGATTCATATTAAAGGGTCACTTCATCCAAATAACAGAAAAACATATTTTCTCGCTTACCTTGCAGTATCGAGCCATGCAGATGCAATGCTAACGTTTTAAGATATTTCTGCCTCCATCCAAACACGGATATCTCAAAAATGTGAGCCGATAAAACGAAAACGATCTGCATAGCTAGATACAATATGTGAGAAACTATGTTGTTTTTATGTTATTTAGGTTAACTGACTCTTTAATCTGTAAGAACCATACATAGCATTATGCATCAGATAGAGATAAGCTCCTCCCATACCTTGCCCTCTGGGACGCCAGCTCCGACAACCAGCACCAGACCACAGCCACTATTACAATCATTCCTATGAAGGGGATGGAGAGAACAGGGTGCTCAGACGGATGGATGAATCTCTGAGGAGGGAATAAAAAACACACACAAGGACCATGGGGATGAAGGGGATGAATGAATGGATGGATTGAAGAATCAAAATAATAAAACACAGATAAATAGGGTGTGACGACAGCACAAATGGACCACTACTTCAAATCACTAAATCAAAAGTGTGACATGGTCTATGGCCGCGACATAAAGGGGAAGGGTTGTGATGGAGTGATGTACATTTCCCATCAAACAAACAATGCATAACTTTATGGTGACGTACACATCAACTCAATGTGAGTATGTGTGAGCAGTCCTATGTGGCATTTATTGGCTGCATGTGATGTTACGGTGACAAAAAAAAGAAAGACATACAGCATGAATGTTGTGACTAGCGTGTAGTGGTATTTTTTGTCTCTCTATCCTCATTTTATTGTTTGTTTTTAATGCTTTGCTAAATTTGTTAAATCGTACAGGCTGAGAGGTCATGGACATTCAGAGAACAAGGACAGCATCAGAGACAGGCACGGGTAGACAGTTTGACACAACGCAGAGACATCTTATCACGGTTGTTGTAGACAAAACACACAGTTTTAGTCCTGTTTGTTTTTAACGACATAAAACATGAAGGACCACACATACAGCACTTAGCATTGCTTCTAACCAATTTCCAAACATAGCCACGTTTTTTGTTTGGTTTTTTTAAATTTTTGGATGCATATTTCTTTTAAGTGAAAGTCAGCTTGCAGAATATTTAATCTGTCTTTGCGTGGTAAGGTCATTCAGGTTGGTGCGTTCAAGTGCTGCGTTCACAAACGGTGTCAAATAAAACCCAGAGGACAAACAATAAGCACATATAGACGTCATGAAAAGGACAATGAATTTGGTACTGTAGCTTCTTGCATTACAGAGGTTGCTGTTGATGTTAGAGTTTCCCATGAGCACTTGAAAACATCAAGTCAAGGAAAACAATTACTATGCAACAATAGTGTAACTGTGACAAAGGTAAAACTGGGAATTCCTGTTAATTGTTTCAGTTGCCTATTTCAGACACGTTCACTGCAAGTTGACTTTCATACATTATCTAATTAAAATGAACAGAAACCAGTCTTAAAATGGGGAAAAAAGAATTAAAAAATATAATATATGCAAAGATCCTTTAATTATTAATCCACCTGCATAGGATTCAGTGATTGAATAAGTATTATTCAAGCTTGATTTGCCTGATGCCTGAAATCCTTTCTGCAGATTGTTTGTGTTTTTGTCCAACAACAGTATTAAAGCATTACTGTCACAGAGAGGTTAGAACACAGACACAGTGTGGGGAGCGCTACCCCGGCCCAAAGCACACAGTAAATACTGATATGTGCTGACAGGCCAGGTCAGTTCATATCAAAACATATATTGCTAAAGTATGAGACACATAGAAAGTGGGCTCAACAGACACAGTAGGTGTGAGGTGAGGTGTGTTATGTGTTAGTTGACAGTGTGGGAGTGTGGGTGTAAAGAAAGTAAAAAAAACACAGTTCTTTAATCATGTAAAATCACGGCTGAAATTCTCACTACTCACTACTCCTAGAATAAGTTCACAGTAATTATTATTAGTAAGTAAAACAAATTAAGAATAATGCAACCTGCTCTACAGATGCACAACTTAAATGTTGTAAAGGTTGTTATCATTAATCACTTAAAGTTGCACAGCATTTAAATCAGTTTCCCTACTTCTGACACCAACTGTATACTACTATCTTATTAATGTCTGTCCCTCACCTGAGCCCCCCCTGACAGCTTCTCCAGCTCTGCCTTGCAGCGCTGCAGCTCCTCCTCCAGCTCTGCTCGCTCCCTCTGACTGCTGTCATACAGTACCTGCAGCTCCTGCAGCTCCATCTTCAGACCGTCACACTAGAGGACACGGAGGGCAAATTCTCTTACAGTAGTGGATTTATTGAAACCAGTTTTAGTGCATGTGTTTGAAATCATCGTAAGTAAAAATCAAAAACTGCTTGACCCAAATCTGTCCATGTTTTATTCATATTTTTAACTCCCGAGGCACTGTTTTTAGACACTAATGCATCATACCTCTCTCTGAACCTTTGAGGCCTTCTCCTCTGCCTGTTTGAGCTGGTCCCTCAGGGAGAAGATCTCCCCGATGCCTCCGTTCCAGCCGGTAGGTGTCATTGGCTTCCCATCAAATGAAATATTCTTCTGGATGGAGGCGTCCACCAGGTGACAGTTCTCAGACTGGGCCATGGTCATGTAGCTCTCTGTCATGACCTCATCTGGGCCTGTCTCCATCTCCTTCCCCTCTGTGCCCTCCCCTACGTCTTCCTCTTTCAGTGACAGGTAGACGCTGGAGCTGGACGAAAGGACGAAATGTGGAAGAATATACTTTCAACTTCAGCAGAACTACCTGAAAGTGCAATCAATGGGCTCCAAATGGGCTGAATAGTTTCCATGGTGAAAGGCAAGAAATGACTGCAATGCTATTTTATGTGATTAGTTAGCATTCATTTTGCTTTGCGTTGTCTTTTACTTTGTGAGAAATAATTTTTGTTTCTGTTACAGACATGCCGCCACATGTATCTTGCCAACCTTATAATAAGACCGCAATTAAGGATTATTTCATTCTCGACTAATCAAATTTTGATTTTTATTACGATCAGTTAATTGGTCAATCTAAAAATTGTAAGAAAACAATGAAAAAAGGCCCATCACAGTTTTTCGTTAGCTTCTATCTGACCAACAGTGCAAAACCAAAACTTTAATTCAATTAAAATTGGAGCAAATCGCCTCTAATAAGCTGGAAATAGAAAATGTTTGGCATTGTTGCATGATAAATTCAATTTGATTAATATTTTTTATTATTATTGTGGAAAAAACAATCCCCCCACAAGGTCCATTTAGTAACTATGATGCTGTTGTCTCTGCTCTGAAACAGCACAGAAATCTAATCAGTGCACATCTTTAAAAACATCTTACAAATTTGTTTGTTTTATGTGTTTTTTTCTTGATTTTACAACTATTACTTCTTTCCTGCTGTATATGTTGTCTTTTCTATCTCCCGTTTCCATTTTTTTATTCCTGTAAAGCGTTGTGTAACTTTTGTTTTGAGTAGTGCTATAAATAAAGTTTGCTCTTGCTCTTGATGCATCACAAGATCTTCCTCAGCAGATGGAGTATGCCCTGTTCTCCATCTGCTGAGGAAGAACATGTGATGCGTTCAAGCATTTTCAGAACAACTACTGAACAGATCTGGTGGGTAGATTGTTTTCATGGTCAGGGATGAACGTTAAATTGTTGTCTATGAATTTTCTGTCAGTCTAATCAATTAATTGACTAATGGTTTCAGCACTTATGTGTAATCCCTCGTATGATATTACAGTTGTACCGCAGTGATTCAACAGGTGGCCGGTCTTTTCTAAATGAGGTGACGTGAATGGCAGTGACGAGGGGGTAGTATTCCAGAGGGTCTCCCCTCCAGCTGATCCAGTAAGCACAGCTGATGAGTGAGCAGTCATTGACCCCTCACCATGTCCTCTGTCTCTGCAGCAGCTGCAGCCTCTCAGTGAGGCGTCTGTTGTCTTCTTTCAGGGTCTGACACTCCTCTTTCAGCATACGGCACTCCTCCTTCAGCAGGTCCACGTCACCTGACAGAATAAAGAAGGTCAGAAAGGAAAGTTGCAGAAGAGATGCAGGAAATAGAGTTCATCTTTAATCTTAACATCATTACGACATGTATATGATATACTACATATGCTTATTCGCTTTGTTGCAGAGAGTTAGAGGATATGCTTGATCCCACATTCATATCTGTCAAAAATATGACACTACAGCCATCAGCTGGTTAGCTAAGTATGTTAGTATGCTAATAGCTTAGCATAAAGACAGCGAACATGGGGAAACAGCCAGCCTGGCTCTGTCCAAATGTAACAAAAACCACCTACTGGCACCTCTAAAGCTCACTAATTAAAATATTATAATCTTGTTTGTTTAATCCGGACTATTTCTTGGCTGGGACCAGTTGCCAGGCAACCTGCGGAGACTCCAGGAAGTTACTGGTCCTGGCCGAAGAAATAATCAGACGCATACCCTCCATCAAGGCACCTACAATGTCAGACTTTGACTGTACATTCTGGGTGATGTTTTCATGAAAGAGCACAACAATGAAACCATATGAACTGCCCTCCCTCAGTCCCACCCCAGGCTCAGCTGCAGAGCCCAGCGATGACATCATGTGCTCGAAGTGTGTGTCCCTCCCCCTCATGACTTAATGTCCCTGCAATCCTAAATGCACTCACATCCACACACACATACACACACCACTCCCCTTGAAACACTCAGCAAGCACATTTATAATTTGTAATATTTATTAAACCCCACAAATGATTTATGTGCTTGACTGCGGGATGCTAACATGATGTGAGCATGGAACAAGAACATCCATAACGCAATGCTTTGTTTTCATAATATCATCCACAAAGGCCGATCATGGGCTATTTGTGCAAGTAGTAAGTTGGATAAATTCCATATACCAGTAGAGACAGTGGGTTTGTGTTTTTTTACTGTATTTTTAGTAGGTCCTGATGGCTGTACACACACGCGCACACACAAGGTGTGAAGATGAGGTGTAAAACTAGGGCATATTTGATTTTAACTTTGATGTACTGTAAGTAAAAGAAAAAGTAGGGTCGGAGAACGTATGTGTAGAAACTACTCTGACATCCGTCTATACCTGACTTCTCTGTGTTTTTTCTCTTCTACTACTTTTGTACTGCTCCTCATCCCTCACCCTCTCTCCTCTCCGCCTCCCTGCGCTGGCTCTTCATGCTGATCTCGGCTCTCAGCGTGGTGATCTCCAGCTCATACTCCTGGGTCTCCTCACTGAGACGCTGCAGCTCAGCCCGCCGGCGACACAGCTCCTCCTGCAGAGAGGCGATATCATTCTCCCTCTCTGCAGCCGCCTCCTCTGCTGCCTGTTGGAGCAGGAGCACCTCCTCTTGAGCCACACGCAGCTCCTCCTGGGCCTCGGCCAGCTCGCTCTCCTTCTCCTCCTCCAGGCTGTCCATCTCCTCCTGCACAGAACGCAGCTGTGCTGTGGGGAGAGGAGGAGGATATGGTTAGCTTTACTTTATGGGGGATGTGTGGGTGAGACTGCAGTATCAGTATGGGTGTAGATGTGTGTGTGTGTGTGTGTGTGTGTGTGTGTGTGTATATATGATCTTACCTTAAGTTTTGCAGCAGTGGACCTGCTTGTGTTTATGTGCGTGGGTGGTGTGTTCTTGCACGTGCATTTGCCTCTTGTGTGTGTGTGTGTGTGTGTGTGTGTGTGTGTGTGTGTGTGTGTGTGTGTGTGTGTCCACTGTATGTGTGGGTACTGGTTGAAAGAAGAGCTGATGTAACTGATGGTAACAACCTTTTTCTTCAGGGTCAGATACAGATTATTAGTTTAGTATTGTCGGGAAAGGAACAACCTCTCCACTTCTCACGATAACAACAAGAGCAATAATACAAAGAAATGGCAATAAAACGAGTAATAACTGCTAAACAGTTTAGACATCATTCATTATAACTGAACCAATGTAGATGCGTCATGCAATACTTTGTCATTTCCCCAACTGGCCAAAATATGTTTTGCAGCTTTAAAAACAATCTGTTCCCTCTTTTCTATTTTCTTTGTCTCTTTTCATGTAAGGGTTTAGAAATCTGTTTCAACAAAGATTTTATAGCAGTTTATAGTGTAGTGTGTTTATAGTTTTTTTTCCTCCTTTCTATAATTATTCTTTCCCTGCTTCCTTCTTCATTTTTTTTCCCTTGTTGTACTCAGAGCCATTATCCTTTTTTGGATGAGTTATGCTGTGTTGTTTCTGAGGTTAGTTAAATCACCCCCGTCATGATTGAGCACATTTAGGCTTTTTCACAATTAATTGTTTCTGTGGGAATGACTTCCTGATTTATTATCTACCAAAATGTAATAAAAATTGCTCACAAAAAACTAATAAATAAATACCCCGAAATCAATAAGCATTTAACATGTTCTAGTAAATTACATTGCAGTACACTTATATAGCACTGTCTGTCTGAGACTATTCAGTAGAGAGATAGTGGGACAATGAATCAAGAGTAATCGAGAAATAATTAAACAAAAACATAGAAATTGATGTTTATCAAGTGCTGAGTGTTTTATTATGTCGATACCTTGTAGATTCTGAATCTGGCGTGTGAAGGCTTCAGCCTGATGGGCACTGGCCAGACGCTCATCCTCCAACAGCCCTGGTGGAGTGGTGAGGTGAGGAGAGGAGCGGAGTGGGGAGGAGAGGAGAGGAGTGGAGTGGGGAGTGGGCAGAGAGATAAGAGGAAAATGTCACTTCAGCAGGCCAATAGAAAGATGACAACTTGATAAGCTGTTCAACCTTGAGGCATGACTGAATGACACTGGCAGTTTTGTGTGTCTGTCTGTGTGTTAAATACAGTGTGAGCAAGAACCATCAATACAAGATGTGTTAGTATATTCATTTATTAGACAGTTTTCCCTTCAAAATAAAGCAGATTTTGTTAACTGATATTTTTTTTGCTCTTTTATTTTCTATTTTTAATTTTATGTTTGTCATGTGAAGTAATTTCTGCAGAATATTCCCGGTGGTTTTAATACAACAACAGCTGCTAGTTTAATACATATTAAGGTAAGTTGAGTATGTATATCGTTAAAGGATCAATTCACCCAAACTTAATTTTTACATTTCTAAAATGCAGGCTTAATTTTTAGCCCCTAGGGGCATGGCACTAGGGATGGCTATGTTGGTCCGTCTGTCCACCGCTTTCATCCAGACTAAAATATATCAACATGTGGTTTTTCATGAAATGTGGTACAGACATTCATTGATCCCTGATTTTTCTTCTAGTGTCATCATCAGGTTTTAATTTGTCCAATATTTTGATTTATCACCAAATACCTGAAAAAACTAATGACATCAGCCGCACCTGCAATTTGCGATTATTGCCAATTATTAGCATGCTAATAATAATAAATAAACATTATACCTGCCTAACATCAGCACGTTAGCATTGTCTTTGTGATCATGTTAGTATTCTGACATTATCATTATCATCATCTCCCGTTTTATCTTTTAGGTCCAGTGTTTAACATTTAGGAGGATCTATTGGCAGAAATTGAATATAATATTCATAGGTATGTTTTCATTTGTGTGTTATCACCTGAAAATAAAAATCATTGTGTTTTCATTACCTTGGACTGCACTCCCCTTATCTACAGAGGCAGTGGGTCCTCTTTCACAGAGATTGTTTGTACAGTAACCCAGAGCAGACAAACCAAACACTGGTGCTAGATAGTGTTTCAAGTTATAGAGTAGATTAGCGGTAGATAAGAGTTGTTTACAATTTTCATGGGGATTATCAAGAAAATAAGCTTCTGGAATATAAAACTCCGAAATCTCAAAACAGAAATTATAGTTTTTTTGTAAATTGCCTGAACCAACCACTTTAATCAGTAACATCCTGCCTCATATTCTTCTCTTGCTGGCAATAATGTCATTCCCACTGAGTATTTCTCATATCCTGTCTTCAGACTTTTTCAGCTGGTTCAGAACTTCAAGTCACACACCCATCCCCTGAGTTCTGCTGGCGTCATATTACAAGCAGCACCTACATCTCACTTTACATCATTATTTGACCATTTACACACAGGATCCTCACCCCGTCCACCACTCTACCCCCCCCCCAACAGCTGCCAGCAGCCTGAACAGCTGACTGTTCCCAGCGGGAGTTGACCAATAGTGATTTCTCGATGTGGTCTAGGACACCCGGTCTGGAAACTTCCCCCCATGTACGCAGTTGTCTGAGGAATGCCCCTACGCTGCCAGACAAACAACTGAGCTCACCACGCCATGTCTTTTAGTATGACACACAGTCATATACACACACACTCATAAATACACGCACACACATACTGAGCTCACTGTGGCCCCATACCCAAGGCCTTACTCACTGCTAGTGTCCCTGAACGTTAAGCTCATCATTTCTAAGGTATGATGTGATGCTCCATTTAGCGCTTATGAGGAACAGACCATGTCAGTGACCACATATAAACATTTACACTTCTACATGTTCAGCTAGATTGTGATGAACAGGAGTTGTCTCAGGTGGAGAGTTAAGCTGTCCAGGTAGAGGCCAGAGGTTTTTATTCTGTGGTTGTGAGTAAAGAATTGAGAAAATGTCACTGAGATGAAAAGTGTGATGATTATTTTATCTTAATGTAATAGGTAATTGTTATAGTTGACATTTCCCAAATAGGAATCTTAAATGGCAGTAAATGTTGTATTTAAGTGCATTTTTATTTTTCAAACTTCTTTTGCTCATTGATAATTCACTTGAGATTAAAGGAAAACTTCTTTGTCAATCTGGATCTTATTCTCACCTTTTTATCCTCTTTCTTTATTGGTCTAGATAACATTTTACCCACCCCCTCAAGTGTACAGATTTGGGAAACTTGGACTCAAGAATCAACAAATGAGAGAACGATGTTGATCGGTTGTAGTGAAATGAGGTCCATTGCACTAAACCGATTTGCGATCTGTTTACACAAAGATTAAAAATAGCGGCAGCATCAAGTTTCTCAAATTGATTGTTGAAGGCAAATTGCAGATCACTTTACAAGCCGGGCACTCGCATGCTCATTCCTGGGCTGCTGATTGTTTTGAATGGTAAATTTTGCGATCAGTAAAGAGAAACAGAAATTTATCTCATTGTTGCAAATTGTGATTAAATGACTTTATGATTAAAAAGGAGTTTCCAGTTGTGGCTAATTACACTAAAGCTGCAGTTCACTAGAGCTACAGGGATTTCCACAGGTTTACTTCCAGTTGGATTTAAAAATACATGTTTAAGTTAAGACGATTCTTTTGACATTTTTGGGAAAAGCTGTAGCTTCATTGGCTCTTTGTCCCAATCATTTCAAGTCATCAAGTCTGCATTTCACAAATCCCTATAGTGATTATGATGGTGAGTAAAGTGTTGTCATGACTAATAGACGTAATGGACATAAATATGAGAATGAGAATAAGCCAGTGTTGACAAATGGTTAAATTCCCCTTTAAATGTCAGACAGTTTGCCCAGGACGACAGGATTATGGGTATGTGGAAGATGTTTGCATTCGGTTTCACAGATCTTGAGTTCAGGTCAGATGGTTGTTAGTAAATAATGAATAAAAGATTGTGATGAAGGAAGACTGATTATTCAAGGCATTAAATCATGAATAAACAGTGTAAGAAGTCTCACTGGTCACAGCCAAGGCTGGAGGTCTCACCTTGCAGCTCATGGAAGCTCTCCTGGTGTTTGTTGGAGGTCTCTCTGGCATCATCCAGCTCCAGCAGCAGTTGCAGCACCTGGGCCCTGAGCTCCTCCAGCTCCTGCTCCTCTGTCAGCGGCTCCTGCTCCTTCCTCCTCTTCTCCTTCCCTTCGCCTTCCTCCTCCTTCAGCTTCTTCTCTTCCCCCTCTTCTTCCTGAGCTCTTTCCTGGTCCATCTCCTCCTTCTCATTGTTCTCCTCCAGGATGCCTCTCTCCTTCGCTGTTATCTCGTTGTCCATGGTGGGGCTGCACTCTGCTTTCAGATCGCACGGGTCATCTGATGGAAAGATGACAGCGATATTAGAAAAGGATGCCTGATAGGGAGAGAGAGGGAGACAGAAAGAGAGATTCACAGGTGACAAAACCCTCTGTCATCACCCAAATTCAGTCATGCTTTAAACGTGGCATAGAGTGAGTTTTCTTCTGAATCAACAGCACCATCTTGTGATTAACATGGCACTGAGTCCTTTATACACCAACCTCTATTCCACTCATATGCCTTGATTTAACATACTAATTTAATATATGAAATTACTGACAATCCTCTTTTGAGATTAGAAGTGAGATTTTGATAGAAAGAAAACTAAAAAACCTCAAAAATATTGCTCTATCTGCACAGTGAATTTAAATGTCTGACCAGTAGGTGGAGTGAGTTAGCTGACACAATGCAGAGAGAAAAGTGGGGAGGTGGGTCTGTATGCTGAAGCAATCACTATGACTCACCACTCAGCAATGCACCGCAAAGTTCATAATAACACAAGCTTGAGCTCATAGTAAGAGAGATGTGACACTCTCTCGTATTACACTGTCACATTACATTGTTTTCTGGGGGGGGGGGAGGATGTTTCCTGTTAATATGAGACCAGTGAGACGTTGTATACAATGTAGAGCTATGCTAATAAACTTGATTTGACATTATAATGGCTGTTGCTGCTAGCTGCAAAGGCAAATTCAGACCAGGTTATGAAACTAGAAGGGACGGCATCATTTACAGCAACGCAACGGTAAATTCCCATTTGACTAGGAAGAAAAGTATTTTTTCATTAGTCAGATGGGATTTGCTGTGAGGCAGGAAGGTCTAGAGATAAAAGGGGATTGTATTCACAGTGTTAGTTTGCTCTGTTGTTTGTTCTACAGTTAAAAGGTAAAAAATCAGTTACTGGCCCATTTTTAGTGCAATGGGCCTCTCACACACTAGCCTGCTATTGTTTCTTATTTCTCAATAACATGCCCTGCAGGGTCAAGTCCATCTCAGAAATAAATTGATATGTAGTATCACACATTCATGCTTGAGTGGTCTCCGAGTGCCTCAAAATTGCTTGTTTGTACTCACAAAGCAGTTTGAGGGTGAGAGAGGGGAATGGCGTTGGCTGCGAGACAGGAATAGAGAGATGTGACGAGAAAAAAGGTGCAGCAGGGGACAGAGTAAAGCATTAACTAAAGATCTAACTAATTAAGAGTGATGCTCACCGGTGTAATCCCAGCTCAAGGGATGCTTCCATTTCTTCTGTAATTACTTCTCTGCCTTGTTTTTCCCCCTCACAAGATTTCTCTCCATCAAAACCAAGCACATGCAAAATACTTTTTTATCATATCCGTGTGACGTCAGCAGCGGCCTGCATCCTTATTCCTTCCTGTCTCATTATACTGTTAATTTAAACAATGCAGCCCCTGAGAGGCAAGTGAGGGGTTTCATAAGCACTGGGCTATTTTGTCATTAAACTTTGATGCTGCTGTAATGAGTTAGTCATAAAGAAGATAGCTGGGTGGCAGAGAGAGAGCCAGAGCTGCTTGTATAGCCAGCGGCAGCTAAAGGCCATCAAGAGAAAAAAGGCTTCCCACAGAATATCACTCACATCCAAATCCTCCAGGATGTCTGGCCCAGGGTGTAATAACTCGGAAAAGCTCTGGCTCATGTGATTTGTGCTGTATTTTAGTTCTTTGGTTTTGTAGATGTAGCAGTCACACAATCTCCCTATGGGGTGCAAACTACAGCTGATTGGAAATTAACTACACACATCACACACATGAGAAATTGTTTAGGGACATCCGCTAATACTGGAGAGATGTGGTGGGCAACAAAACCCTTCTCAACTTTCTTCAACTTCCGTTGATGCCGTCTTTTCAAAGGAATTAGCTTTTATCTTATTATGGTACCTCTCAACATATTGCAACCCCTACTATCTTCTTAGCTTTTTTCCAACTAGCTTGTTAATCATTCCACTCCTTTAAGAAGCTTTATCACCTCACCTTGCGAGTGAATGTCAAACACATTGTGCAGCAGAATCAGCTGCAATGACACCTGTGTTCACTCCACTGCATTCTTGGCACAGTCCTCGTCTTTAGTCACGCAGGGATTGCTTTAGACATGGACGCTGCATGCATACAAGAGAGGGGACGGGCAGGAGAGTCATCTCAGGACCAGAGTTACAGCTCCAGGGAGAGGATGGCTTTATCTAGCCACAGCACATTCCTTTGTAATCACATTGCAGCAAAACACATTGAGAATGTCACTGCAAAACATTGTGCCACTTTAGAAAGGAGACAACAAGCAGGCTCAGTGTTCTTTGTCAGCATCTCAGAATAGCTGTCTGAGATTAAATTTAAACATTAATGTGGCAACACAAGTATTTGTTTTACTTCTGATTCAGTGTTCAGTGATGGAGTGAGGAGTGTTGTGAAATTTGCACTTTGCAAAATTGAGGAGCAGAGTGAGGATTTTAGCAAATAGAGGCGTGCTGGGAGAGGTTTGGATGTGGAACATAGAGCTACTTTAACCTGGCACCACTTCAGTGTGATTCTGCAGTTTGAGTTATGTACATTAAATATGCAGCAAAAGCTGAAACTCAGTCTTACAGTATGACAGAGTAGATAGAAAAATCCTGAAGACATGTCTTCGGTGTCTTTTCTTTGGCCTTTGACACCATGTAGAACGTTGATTTTATGTGTATACATGCATATTTTTATCTTGTGCGGGCAGTGCATTTTATTTATTTTACTTATTTTATTCTATTTAATTTTTATTTTATTGCTTTTATCTTTTACTGTGTACTTCATCTTTTTTTTATTGTGCTTCTATTGTGTTATCTATTTATTCTGTATATCTTTTTGTGCAGCACTTTGGAAACCTTGTGTTTGTTAAAATCGTGCTATATAAATAAAGTGGATTGGATTGGATTGGATTGCTTTATGTAAGGTGTTATATCACTTAAAACGAAGCACAAAAGCTTTTTTGAGTCTACTCGATTCTCTCCCTGCGACTGCTAGTTGAATTTATAATTTTACGGTATTGAGAGGAACATCTGGAGTTAAATCAACTGTGAAAAAAGAAATGACAGCTCACTGAAACAGGAGCTGGAGGCAGTCTACAGGTGGAGTGTGATGGGCACCAGACAGATGGTGGTGCTGGCTGTGCTGGTAGTAGTGTTAGTGGTTCCAGTGTGTGTGCAGATTTTTTGTGCTTGAATTTGGGTCTGTCTTTCTGTAGTGTATGAATGTGTGCATGACTTTATATTATGTGTGAACACTTCTGTGTGCTCATTTACTTGTTCCCTGTGTGTGTGTGTGTGTGTGTGTGTGTGTGTGTGTGTGTGTGTGTGTGTGTGTGTGTATATATATATATATATATATAGTATATACCGTAAATAGGTGTTTGTATCACACAGGTGACCTCTGAGCCTCACTTCCGGTGAGCCTATGTACGCATATACACATAAATATGGCCACACAAGTCTGCCATATTTAAGCAGCATGTGTTAGGTATCTGTATGTATACCGTGGAGCTCTGCAGCTGTGTAGGAGGCCATGTATAATGCACACCACCCCCTCCTACCCCAGCTTTGAAGCCAGGCCAGTACTGATGTTGTAGCTTTTCCCCCTGCACTGGCACACTTCCTCAGAAACACATAATAGGGAGCGGGGAGGGGGAGTCTAAAAAGGCTGTGCAAGAACAAAAGAGGAAAGGAGGAGAAGACAATAAGAGAGATGCAAGGAAGTCGAAGGAGTTATGATTTGGCCTGGGGGAACTCGAGCTGTTCCCTTCCTCGTAAAAAACTAACAGGAGTCAGGTGAAGCCAAGAGACTAGTCCATCTCCATGGTGACCTCTGCACACCATACTGAAAGTCACTGTGGCAATATAGCTGTGTTTCTGTCCACAATTCTGCTTTCCATTGAAACCTTTCTGTCTGCGATTAGCTTTGCCCCACAGAGAAGCCCAAGTGATCTTATCAGGTGTCCCTTCACAGAGCCCACAGTGAGGTCACCATCATATGAGATTTGCTGACTTCAAACTCGGCAGCTTGAGATGAGGAGCGAGCTACACAGGCAGGAGGTCTTGTGAAGTTAATGTGTGTTTATCTCTTTCTCTCTCTTGACTTTTAGCCTGAGAACTCCAGGGAGAGTGAGGAACAACAACAGCAGCAGAAGACAAGAAAAGAAACAGGAACCACAAGCATCCAAGAGTTGGACTAACTTAATGAGCCACTCTGTTATTTAAATGGAAAATCCATGTTTGCAATTTCAAAGGGAAGTAAGAGAAAGTGGGTCAACGGAATACAGATGCATTGCCGAATGTGCTATAATTTGGCCTCATTAGATGAGCATGCACAAATACTGTGTACATAGTGTACATAATGATGTACACATTATTGTGTACATACTGTAGGTAACTGATTCAGGGCTTTTTATGGGACTGTGTGGCTGTGTGGCGGTGCAGTGTGAGTGTGTGTACATGTGCTTGTTGTTTAGCTATTCCATTAAGGGATATGAAGAGCGACAGATAACAAAGCATGATAATAAGTGATGTGGTAATAATCCATTGGATCACATATCAGTGCCTCCCACCTGAAAGCAATCTCTCTGGAAGGTTTTACATCAGTACAACAGAGGAAAGAGGGGATACCACAGCTCACCATGCAGCAGCCAAATTCAAAAAAGGATAAAGATCCGGAGGGAGAGAACTAATGATAGGCTGACAATGCTGAGCATTTCTGCGAAGGAGAAGAAAAGACAGGAAAAAAAATCCATAGAATAAGCTGCAAGAGGGAGCCGCATGAACCTTCTGTATTCACTTAAAAGTTTTACGAATTTTTCCATTATGCAACCAAGAGAGAATTAAAAAAACATGTGGCACGCTCACTTTTGTCAGTGACCCACAGAGTGCATTTTAAAATGAAGCACTGAAAGTCTGATGGGAGAAAACGTGGATAGGGTGGTGCAGGGAGACGTGTCACACTTTAGGACTACAGGGCTGCAAAAGAAGGAGCTGAGGTGCCCGAGGGCGGAAAAGGCATGCAAGATATGTTTCCATTTAGCCCTATGACTGGCCATGTAAAACACTGATGTGAGACTCTCACTTTGTTGTTTTTCTCTGCAGCTACCAGATCTACAAACTTTGTCTAAGTCAGCAACTTTTCTGTTTATCAGTTCCTGCGAGGTGAGAGAAATCCTGTTTGTGCACCCTTGGGAAGTATCACTGCTGATGTGAATTTCACAATGTGAGGGCAAAACACTGGAGAGGAGTGGAGGGAACGCAGGAGAGGACAGGAGAGAAATGCTGTGTGGGCTGAGGCACTGGCAGGTGCAGAGGTTTGCGAGTGTATGCATGCGCATGCATGTGCATGAGTGTGTGTGTGTGTGTGTGTGTGTGTGTGTGTGTGTGTGTGTGTGTGTGTGTGTGTGTGTGTGTGTTGGAGAGTGTGTGGGCGCTGAAGAGAGCAGAGGATTGCGATTGAAAGAGGGGGAAGAGATATTGAGTGGGAAAGCAGAGAGAAGGATAGAGAGAGATGTGATCGACGACTCGTGCAAGTGGGAGGAACAATATGGTGGCTGATGGTGGTAAGATACACAGACAGCTTGCAAATGTCAAACCAGCCTCTGATGGTGTTTTATTGATCAGTGTGTTTGTGTGAGAGCATCTGTATTCCCTGTTGGTAGATGTAGCAAGTGATTTTAGAAGCATTTCTTTCAGTGCAGTGTGGCATTCATTCCCAGCAGGACTGACAAAGCACTGAAAAATAAAAGCCTAGAAAATAACTACTGTTGTGAACAAAGCTACCTTTTGTTCAGAGCAAAAAGGTAGCTTAGTCTGAAGAAGCCAGACTGATGTCTACAATTGACCTCAGCCAGGACAGAATAAATGCACTTCAATACATTTAGATCCCTGAGTGTATGTAATTCAAAAAGATAATTTAGTTAATACTAGCCATCACTCAATCCACTTTTCGTTCGCTGTACGTCCATTGTTATTATGGTCAATCAGTCAGGATTCACGCTACGTTAAGACAGACACTTGCCATCACTAGACGCTGAATTCCAAGCTTTAAAAGCATGCCTCAGGCTGTGATGAAAGGAAAGAGGTCCCCAGAGTTAAGATAACAGGAACAAGCTTGTTAGGGAGGAAGCATTTCTCCTGAGACAGCATCTATGTTACGATGGTCAATACACAAGCTTCAGCATAACCACTATAATAAAGGAAATTACTCACTGAACACTTAAAACAAAGTGGTTTAATAAGTCTACAGCTAAGAAATAATCCACCAAATACATGTTATTGAAAGTTCAATTGTAGGACAGTACTACGCAGGAAAAGGAAGCCAGATTCCGGCAACCTGGCCACTGGTCAAAGGCCCGCTGACCCATGGTGCTCTCTGAGCCCCTCCACACCAATAAACATCCTCTCAGCAGTGTCCCACACAGAGCTGCACTGTCTGCACGCCCATTCAAAACACGAAGAAAACACTCTTCTTCTTTGTTGGTACACACAGACACACACAAAAACACATTCTTCCCTGAACTGTTGCACACAGTTACACATTACTTATTCTGTATGAGGCAAAACAATGAAAATGCATTGAGTCAAATGTCATACAGCAACATGCAGCGGTATGAAGTTACCAAAC